TTATTTTCTGTATCATTAAACAAACCATTTGATGGATGAAACCTTTTAATTAGGACAGACATACATAATACAATTTTATAATAAAATTTTATAGTAACATTTTTTATTAATAATTATTGTAACTATAATTAACTCTTTTTACTTATTAAATAATATTCACTTAGTTTATGTGCTACTATTATTTGATTATTGTAAAATTCTATCTGAGGCTAAAATGATGTATCAATCTTTTTAAAAATCATTAAATTAAAGTGGATTTTGAAGAGTAATATTAACAACCGATGAGAAAAGGGACACGTATATTTTTGTTCAAAATGAGCCTAGCTGTGGTGATGCAAAGAAGTCTACGACTACGATAGACCAACGAGGGGTTGGATCAAGTGGTAAGCGGTTTGTTTCAGCTTAAGCAAGGTGTCGAGTTCGAGCCCTTGTGTACGCAGCAACCCCAGCTGGGAGACTCACCCACTATTTTCAGGTGCGTAACGCGGGTTGAGTCCAGATTAATAGGGGCGAAGCCTCGATACCAAGCGGGAAACCAAAAAAAAAAAAAAAAGAAGTCTACGATGGAGCCATTTTAAATGGTCTTCATTCTTCTAGACTCTTTTTTCTTTTTTCTCTCTTGGAAATCTTTACTTCAGTTGGTTGTTGAGATGACTCTTTTCATTTGGACCAGAGGCACATGCTTTTCAAAGTGTAAGAACTCAAAAATGAATTTATAAATTACCCTATTTAGATTTCAAACCTTGCTTATGAACCCCAATTTTTTTTCCCCTTTACCGATTAATATTTTGTAATTAAAAGGGTTAAAGCCAATCGTAGTCCTCGTATTTTGTGAAAATGTTCATTACCATCCCTCTACTAAGGAAATGTTCAAGGTCATCCCTCTACTTTTCTTACACCATAATTGTCATCCCTCTACTACTCTTTTTTTTGTTAGATGTCATCCTTAATTGGATGCCATCCATTTTGCTAATAACTTTGACTATTAATTGCTTAACAATCAAACATTTAACTTTTGTTAATTAATTTTTTATCCACTAACAGAATTTGTTAATTCTCTATTAAAAAAATATATTTATAAGACCAATTATCAAAAATTAAAAATGTAACAATTTAATTCTAAAAGTTTAAAAAATAAAAAAATTAATAACTTAAAAATAATTAGTAAATGACTTTATCACATATATGAAAACAATGTTAGATATCTACAATTACATTGAGTGATTAACTTAATCTAACTAAAGAAATCTAATTAAAATTAAAAAAAATTTTGTGGCTGTATTTTTCTGGTCTCTTAAATTTTCTATCTTAATTCGGTTAATAAATTTTCCTTAATTTCACTCAAAATTCTTTCTCCAAATTAAGCTAATCTCTCGATTTGATTTAAATATCTAATATTATTTTAGTATATGTTTTAGTATATGTGAAAAAGTCATTTATTAATTCTTTTTAGTTTACTAATTTTTATAATTTTTGAACTTTTAAAATTAAATTGTTACATTTTTAGTTTTTAATGATTAATCTTATAACTATTTTATTTCAATTTTAACAGAGAATTAACAGATTCCGTTAATTTAGGTGTTAAAGCCAAAAAGAATAATACAAACTAAAAAAAATAAAGAAATTGGTCCCACTAGTCTCACTAGGTGGATAAAAAATTGATAAACAAATGGCTATTCTAATTTGTGTCTTAAGGGTTATTTTAATTTATATCTTTAGGACACCGGTTAAAAGTTTT